AAGAAACTATTCTAAGATAATGACGAGTAGATTAACTCTTGCTAACAACCAACGCTCCAACGCTATGTTTGATATAAATTACAAAAATATAAAAAGGTGCCATAATATACCTCCAAATCTTCAGCAGATGCTCCAACTTTTGTGTCAGTAGTACTAGGTAGAGATGAACTTCCATAAGTGCTTCTGCAAAGTTCGACACATTAACAGAACCTAAGCTGCACCCAAAGGATGTGAGGAAGAATAGAGGGAAATTGAGAAAATATCCGCAAATACCTGTTTGTCCCTGCATCACTTGCAACTGATGGAATTCCCGTGCTCGTTGTAACAGGGGCAACCACAGCAGCACTTGTTCCACCGTTTTGCATGGAACTAGAAGAAGATATATCCCCATTGTACGACGGGCCAGCACCAGGAGGAGGCAAGTTTGCTATCGCATCATGGGAGCTTGGAGCAATTGTTCCTACTAAAGATGAAGACTGTTTGGCAGGTAAGGAAGGCTCCACAGAAACAGAAGTGGATCCAACAGGGGCAACAGAAGTGGATCCAACAGGGGCAACAGAAGTGGATCCAACAGGGGCAACAGCAGTGGATTCAATCTCCCGGACAGGCTGCTGATTTGATGTCTTCTCTGCTAATTCACGTGCAATCTGAACAGAAAGCCAAAAGTAATTGTAAAAATATTCTATGTCTTATTACACAATAATTACAGATGTCACGTCAAAAGAAATACCCTTAGCTCATCAGGAATAGACCATTTGGATTGCTTTGTCACTTTGTTGTAATAGTACCTGGACCAGCAGAATAGTGAGACTACAGAATAAAGAAAATCCATTGAGGCTGACTAAATAACAGAACATCTGTGGCAATTAATTTCAATATGAACTTACTTCCGTCCTTCTGCTGTAGTAAATTCTTTCCATTCAGTTGAAGCGTCAGCCCGCTGTAACATTACAAAAAGTATGTAACAGAAACCGTAAATGGCCATTTAATATTAGTGCAAAGAAGTAGAGGACACCAAAATGTAGTCGTCCTACCAGACACTACCATATTTCTTTAGTTACTATATATAGTTACTATATATGCACCTGCCCTTTGCAGGAGGAAAATGAAGAATGCATTTTGGGCCAATTGTAAATGCTACTCGGCAATAATTGCAAGATATATATGATAAGGCAAAAATGGAAGAAAACATGTTGCACTTATTGTACGGAAAAAGTTAGGGTGTACTACTGCCGATGAAAGAAAGGAGGATCATGCAAGTATTGTTCCATTGTATTCATCAATTTTGTAAATTTAGATATCAGTCATGTGAAAACAAAATAATACCTAAAATGCAGGCATGCAACACAGAAGTTGTGCATGTTACAGAAGCAGATAAATTATCAATTAATACAAGCAAAGCCCAAAACTCAACTGTTTAAGCCTAGCATCATTGGAACTGCGATATCAACAAATGAGTTATACCAGCTAAATACCAAATGATGATCATGATAATATGTTGACAAAATAAACAACAATATGTTGAAATAGCACACTGAAATTAAAGTCAGGACTTCATGAGAACAAAGACAATATTAGGAAGCAAGGGAAATATATAAAACGTACATGACGTATAAAACATATAAGCACAACTAACCTCCAAAGGGGTCATCAACTCAGCAGGTTTCTCCCAACTTGATTGCTTTGTCCTCTTATTGTAATAGTACCTAGGTAAAGAACGATACCAAGCAAAGCAAATAAGTAGACAGACCAAAAGGTGCAACAGAATCAAGAGGAGTACATCACAAAGTTATAATTTAAAACAGAAAGTAATAGAAAGATGACTTACTTCTTTCCATCCCCTGAACTGTGCTCTTGCCAATCCGCAGAGCTAGGTTCAGTTGAGCTCACCTGCACATTTGCTAACTGAGTAGTTGCACAGGCAAGGATATCCAATTTTAAGTAGCATACAAAATGAATGATGCTAGAGTGGTCTTTTAGTAGACAAAAATCAAGTGATGGAAATGTAGCAGAGGCCCTGCAGCAACTTACTGGGGGCACTGAAGCTGAGAGAGACTGATGCCCAGGCTGCACCATCGGCGACACAAGAGGTGCGCCCTGACCCGGGGCTGTGCCCCAGGGTTGAGATCCAGGAGGAACCGATGTTGGTTGATACTGAAATGTAGCATTAATTAACTTGTAAGCAAGGAAAATATTCTAATTATTGACATGGAGAAGCATTCCATGTATATTCGTCAATGGGGAACGGTGAGAAACAAAGGCATACGGTATAAGAAGGAGGCGGCATAGGGGTGCCCATGGTGGGCATAAGTCCACCAGGGAATACAGCTTGCTGCTGTGGCTGCATAGGAGCTGATGACATAGGTCTAGCTGCCTGGTACGGCATAGGAACAGCTTGCGATGCAGGCGGAACATGACCAGAGTGAGGAATATGTGGCCCAGGTTGCTGAAAATGTTGCATCTGCCCTGGCATGCCCATGTTAACTCCTGGCATGGCCTGACCAACAGGCCGATACTGTTGTGGCGCTGGTTGCATGAACTGAGGAGGCTGTTGTGGCGGACCTGGTGGCCACTGAAAATGGAGCACATAGTAGCTATTAATAACCTAACATATGACTATTAAGGTGCAGACTGCAGAAGGAAGCAAAAAACAAAATAAGATGTCCTTATTTACCTGCATGGGCATTGGTTGTCCCATATTTTGTGGCGCGGTAGAACCCATCATAGGAGGCCGGGGGGGCTGCTTGGGAGACAATTAATGGGGTTACCAAACTTGGAGACCACGCAACAAAGAGAAACATTCATGCGGTGAATAACCACATTACGATCTAGGGGGGTGATAACTTACCTGAGGCGGACCAGGAGTCTGCATATTACTCGCCATTAAACCGCATCAAACGACACGGATAACAGGAGGAACGATACCTGCCAAGTGACAAATTGAGATGTTAGAATATAACCTGCAGATGACACGATTGACTGTCTGTCAATCTACGATTGTATCGTGGTTGCATAGAGGACAGAAGGCAACTCAGGACTTTGGCACCCCTTCCATCTCAGATCTACGGCAGAAATGAAACAGGGCATGCCTACTTTTTTGGTTAGACAGGCATGTTTCTGGTGAGCAAAACCTGACCGTTGGATCAGGCTCGACTCACCCAAACCAGTGATACTAAGCGACATAGCTCACGCGCCTCCTCACCACACCACCCTAGCTCATAAATGCCTGCCTGCCTACGTCCCGAAGAAAGCATACAGTATTTTAACCATCGAGCTCCTCTCTTGCATCTACTGGAATCAAAATATGGAGCGCACAGAACTAGGAGTCAAAATGCACTTGAATCGACACTAGAAGCCTTACCAGCTACCACTACAGATAAGCCATCTAACCTAAAAAGGACTGCACACAGAGGCGAAAAAAAATCTAGGGCACATAACCTCTGACTATCAAATCTAGGGCAATTCAGGATTTCCGCAGCCCTCCCATCTCAAATCTCCCGCAGAAAAGAGAAATACGGGGCATGCCTTCCTTTCTGGTTATAAACAGATGCGTGTTTGGTGCGCAAAACCAGAACGGATCTGGCTCGATTCACCAAAACCAGTGATACCGCTAGCCGACACACCCCACATACCTCCTCGCGACACCGCCTTGCTCATAAACACTACCTGCCAATCTACTGCCCGAACAAACTACACGGTTTATCAACGATCCCTCCCCCTGCGTCTACCGGAATCAAAATATGGCGCGCACAGGACCAGAGGAGTCGAAATGCACTTGAATCGACACTAGAAGCCTTACCAGCATGGAAAACAGGCTGAATCTACAGATGAGGAATCTACACTACTGCTGCGCTAACACACGAGACAAACAGAAAAATCTAGGGTTTACATAAACCTCCGACTAGCATGGAAAACAGGCTGTCGGCGTACAGTGGCGGCCCGGATCTGGACGGTCCCCCGGCGCTCACCGGCGCCCAACCAAAATCACGGAGGCTACCCATCAGTACGGTGGTAGATAATCGGCGGAGGGCCGGAAAAGGCTCATACCTCGGGGAAACAGCGCCCAGGGACCGCGGGCGGGGCCGAGGCGGGAGGGGCGCGGCGCCGGAGCGGGGCGGGACGGGAGCGGGCGGCGTGAGGCGGCGGTCGGCGGCGAACCACCGGCCGCGACCGAAGGCTGGCGTCGGCTCGGATGTATGTGTGTATGTGTGTAATTCTGGGTGGCGTCGGG